CAAGTGGACTGAATCAACAGGCAGCATGTAAATAATATATATTGAAATGAGAATTTTATCTAGAAGGCAGAAAAGAGTAAACAGAATAACTTAAAATCTTGATATGGCAATAGGTATAGATTGGATAAAAAATTATAATTGAGCAAGTTTTCTTGCTGTGGTTCTTGCAGGACTGAAAATATATAAAGCTGGTGGAAATAGAACCTGTCTCTACTGAACTGAGGAATGTGTATAGAACTCCTTGCATTGACATCATTGAAATCTTAAGCCATTTCAAAAGTAGGTAAAATTTTGCATTATTTCTCAGCATGAATTCTAGCTTGCTTTTGGGGGACATATAGCAGTGAAGTGCCTTATGGATCTCTGTGTACCAGTTGCATTACTGATAAATGCATACCCAAGGAGATCAAAGCCAAAGCAAACATCATTCATTACTTCCAACAGACAATTACACCCTCCAGATAGTGTTTCACAGTAGTTCCCGCCATCTGTCTTGGTTAGCTGTGATGGCTACGCTGATGGGAGTTTGAGTCCATGCCACTTTAGACTTCCTAACAATTGAGGGGAAAATATATTCTAATGATAACTTCACTCTCTGTATTAAAACGATGACAATGCAATGCATAACTCTGAGGGCATGTGGCTTTCAGACTCAACTGAGTTTGCTTGCCCTGATAAAGAGATCTCACCAGAAGAGAGACGTAGAAAGCATTTATTTAATGGCCAAAGTCCTTTCAGATACCACGGCGAGCATAAAACAGATGGTGTAAATTCTAGCAGTAAAAGCTGCAAGTTATGAAGTCAGCAAGGACGTTATTTGCTTCATGTGGGGTTAGCACATAAATCTCTACTCTAACGTTGTAACTCATAGCCACTCACTACAAAATATTATGCCATTTGCATTAACTCCAGTATGAATTGACAGCAGGATTCTGGCATATATATATTTTATGCTATATTTCTAGGAACTTCCTACAACTATCTAGTCACAGGGAAAAGGAGAAAATCCCCAAGTGGCACAGCACTAGGTTTGTTTAAGCTCTGCACCTGTAGGAATAATAGGCTGATTGAAACAAAAACAAAAATAAAAATGATAGTACATAGAGCAGAATAAAACTTTGTGATAGGACCTTACATGCTCTCAAAACACTATCAGCAAAAACCTGGAAGGGAAAAAAAAAGACCCAAATCACTTTTTCTGCAGAAAAGTTTGTGATGTAAGACTTAAATAAGATTTCTGTTGAAGTAGGATTTAAAAATTCAGAAAAGCATATAGCTAATCAGCACAGGTTGCAAAAAGCAAAACAAATAATCTGCATTGATTAGATTAAAAACTTTTTTATCCAATGTAGCTTGTGGCTTTTTTGATTTTGTAGTCTATCTTGATTAGATAAAACTCTTTTTTTAATCTTTTAAATTCCTGGTTTAGAGTAATTCGCTGACCACTTTCTAAAAGATATCTGCTCCCAAGTTTGCTGAGATGAGCATTAACAGGATCTGACCATGAACATCAATCCTTTCCTCTCTTTTGAAAAATCCCTTTCCCAAAGTTGATACTTTAGAAGAATGGCTGGAAATGCGATTTGAGACTTACGGTACCTTCTTGTTCTGAGTTCTGAGACATTCACCTCCGGGAGGCATTACTGGGAGGTTGAGGTGGGAGACAGCAAAGAGTGGGATGTGGGGGTTTGTAGGGAATCTGTGGGCAGGAAGGGGCAAGCCCCAATAATGTCCCCTGCTAGTGGGTTCTGGAGACTTTGGCTTCGAAAGGGCAACCAGTACAAGGGCCTGAATTCCTACCCTATTCCACTCCCAATGAACTTGAAGCCAACCCGGGTGGGGGTTCTCCTGGACTACTCAGAAGGTGAGGTTTCTTTTTACAACGTGACAGAGAAAACCCTCATTTACACATACATCGCAACCTTCTACACACCCCTGCGGGCTTTCTTCCAGTCCAAGCTGCCATCTGGAAGGAGGAGAGGCCTGCCCATTGTCTGTCTGTCCAGTTACAAAGAGTGATACCACCGGAAGCGAGTCAGCCTTCCCCAAAACCCCAACCTGTGAAGATTTATCTATGCTCTGAAAACACACCATTAACAGGAGCCCCTATATGACCAATGTCCGTGCAGACCACAGGGCGTTCCCCCTTCCCAGTTGGCTCGTGCTAAAAACAGCTGCAGACCTTCCACATGCCAGGTGGGAAGCTCTAGTTCCTCACCTGACACTGGATGTAGCCCTCCCCCCAGGTTTGTCTCTGTAGTTTACCTGTGTTGCTAATCATTCAGAAGCCTAATGATCCCTCCGCAGAAGCCTGTGCTGCAGGGTCACAAGACCAAGCAGTCGTAAGATCGAATCCACGCGACGGAGTGAGCACCCGTCACTTGTCCCAGCTCCCGCCAACCTAGCGGTTTGAAAGCATATAAATGCAAGTAGATAAATAGGGACCACTTCGGTGGGAAGGTAACAGCGTTCCGTGTCTAAGTTGCACTGGCCATGTAACCACGGAAGATTGTCTTTGGAGAAAACGCAGGCTCTGTGGCATGGAAATGGGGATGAGCACCGCCCCCTAGAGTCGAACACGACTGGACAAAAATTGTCAAGGGGAACCTTTACCTTTACCTTTACTTAGTACGTCCATGAAACTAATTGCCTCTTGTAATCAGTTTTGGGAGGACGTTGCCCTCAAAGATGACAGTCAGTTACTTGAAATAAACAATATCCTGCTTTGGAATTCAAATTCGCTGTACTGGAACTTACTAGGTAATTACTAATCTGTGCTGATAATTAATAGTTGGAAAAAGTGATTTCAATGGTGATTTGGCAACTCTTGGTCCAGAGACAGGGAAGAGAAAGCCCTCCAAGTTTTTTTTTTCAGATTGCAGCTCCCTTGACGCCTTACCATTGGCTATGGTGTCAGGGGCTGACGGGATTTGTAGTTCATGCAGTAGACCACATCCTCATCCCTGCTCCACTTCATGCCTCCTATCCTGGGTGCCACATAGGGATTAAATCCAGGGCATCGTTCCCTCTAGTCGAATCCACCACCACACTAGGGGTGAGGTGGACAGAATGAGTCTTTTCCTAGGGAATTTGAGGGCAACCAAAGTCATCCTTACTAGAGCACATTACTCTTTAGATGTCGCTCTACTTTTATTTGTGCTCTTATGATGATCTTGATAATTTGGGCAGGCCATTAAGTGTGTGTTCTTGGTACTAGAATTATGTTTAGGGGTCTCCTACTATCAGCTGCCACGGTTCTGCAGATGGTCCAATCCTTTTTCAAAATAATACAACAGATAAGGTGCTGGATTTAGCTCTGAACGCCACAATACGAAAATGAGGTATTCTCCTACCCGTCCATCATTTGAGTAACAAATTTCAATTCAACCTTCTGCAGGTCTTGGAGAAGGAATTATGACAGGTTGATAAAAACAAATTAAAAGAAAAACCTGTTTATTCACACCTATACAGGCAAATTGGCATGTTTGGCTAGCAGCTGTTACCATAGAAAGATCAAGTCATTCCAGACACCCCAACTCAGTGGAAAAACCTGTTTATTCACACCTATACAGGGCAAATTGGCATGTTTGGCTAGCAGCTCTTACCATGGAAAGATCAAGTCATTCAAGACCTCAGACACCCCAACTCAGTGGTTCCCAACCTGTGGTCCCCAGATGTTCTTGGACTACAGCTCCCAGAAGCCTTCACCACCACCTGCTGGCCAGGATTTCTGGGAGCTGAAGTCCAAGAACATCTGGAGGCACAAGGTTGGGGACCACTGCCCCAACTGGCTACTGCAACCCTCGTTTCACACTTCAACAAAACCAGAGTCCAATTTTGCCCCTCTTTTTTACAAGTAGATACAATATATATATAAAAAAAGAACTATTCATTCCGTCAGATGGGTCAGTCTCTGAAACCTACAAGCTTATATATCATTCAGAATGTATTTACTGAACCACTAAAAGTTCTTCAGCATCCTCTTACCACTAGGATTGCATGAGAATTTCTTTTCTTAAAAATAAGAATTTATCAGCATTTGTACATTTCTTTATAAAAGTTTTAATGCAGGGGAAACTGGAACTAACATTTTTCCATATTAACCCAGAGCTTGTGTGTTTTACTTTGAATGGATGGGATTGAACACTGTCTGTTCAGCCAGGGCACTGCAGAATTACATTAGCAACTTCTTTTCTCTTATTTTGGTTCCTCATGTTGAACAGCTACTAACACATGGTGTTTTCAATATCAAACTCAGTACAAAGAGGGAAGAATTTTATCTCAGTCTATTTTCGGTGAAATTACTGAGAACTACAACTCCTGTATTTGGAATGGACAGAAACTGGAGTTTTGAGAATTCAAATGTAGGAGGAAGCAAATATTAAAAACTCCCTATTCATCTATTTGTTCTCATCCATTCATTTTATTCATTACATGTCTTTCTCCTGATAAAGGAACCCAACAAGGGGGTCATGTAGGGAAGATATATCAAACACCCCTTAGGGAAAAATCCATCAGACTGGAAAATCAAAGACACAAGCTAGCCTCTCTGGTGAAGGTTTTGGGTGATGCTACAGGCCAAGATTTCCCTACAATCACCACATTTAGCCTGCAATCATCCCTGAAAGTAGAAAGCAAAGCCTCGCTTCAGCAAAAGGGCACCCTCAGTTCTAGCCATTCACCAAGGGTCTTCCCGCCCCCCCCCGTGTCTTGCATAGTTGTTCACACCTCATATTCTTGTTACTGCTCCTCTTCTACCCAAAACTGGATGTCCTCACCGCTGTTCTTATCTGAGATGGCAGCTCTAAAACAATAATTTCGTGCTGCATCCAAACCAGACTCCCAATTCAGTTCATTATGCTCGCCTCTTCCCTTTTATGTTTAACCCTGAATGATCAGCTGTGACACTCTATCCTCTCTCATGTCCCACGTATTCTAGCCTTCAGCATTACCTGCATTTTATAATTTCTTAGCCTTTTTTCATTTGCTTTAGCACTCTCTTTTTTTTGGTCGCCTTTTCAATCTAAGAAATTCCTCTTCTTCTGCAATAAATCCACATTTCTGATGCTTCTCCCCTTTAGGCAGATGCCTACGTCATATGGTAGAACCAGCAAGACACCGCATTACCCGCTGTGCCTTCCCAAAGCCGGTGTTCTGTGATTGTATCCTACATTCTGCATCTGATGAAGGCCTCCTTGCGGGAAGGCTTTTCCCCAAACAACATTAATTTGATAAGAGCTCGGGAGCCACCCAAATGGAGGCTGGCCTTCAGCCATCAGCCAATGTATTTCCTGGGGCATTCCATAAGATTTGAACTGAAATTCAAATTCTCCTTCACTTATTCAGAATGACAATGTGTTGATTTCTCTCTCCTGCGTGAGTTCTCTGGTGGATGGTGAGGTTCGAGGCCCGGCTGAAACGTTTCCCACACTGGGGGCAGAGGAAGGGTTTCTCCCGTGTGTGGCCTCTCCGGTGAATGGTGAGGGTCGTGCTACGGGTGAAGCTTTTCCCACAGTCGGCACACCGGTAGGGTTTCTCCCCAGTGTGGGTTCTCTGGTGTGCGATCAGGTTGGAATAATCACTGAAGCCTTTAGCACAGTACGCACAGCTATAGGGCTTCTCGCCCGTGTGGAGCCGGTGGTGTGTGATCAAGACCCCAAACTGCCGGAAGATCTTGCCACAATCAGGACACGGGTAACACTTCTCTTTTCGCTTTCGGACAGCAGCTTCCCCATAACTTCTCCTGGGCCCCTTGTTCTTTGCCAGAGCATTTCCCTCTTGCCCTTCTACTGCTATTTGCAGATAACTCTGGGATGTGTTGCCTTCTGACCTTGGGAGTCTTGTTGCAGGGAGTTCCATTGGCTCAGGACCAGTCTGTTCAGGATCCTCTTTTTTAATTTCATTCAGCACTCTAATGTGCTCTGGAAAATACAGGGGGTGGGGAATGAAAGAAGGGAAGGATAAAGAGCAGGAGAAAAGCTTGATTAGCTAGTACAGGGGAAAACTGACCTCTAGTCTCCAGAGGTTTCAGAGGTGCCCCAACCCCTGAAGCTCCAGCTTCTAGAGTTGGGAAGATTCAGCCACACATAACCCATCCTCCAGGTGAGAAAACCAGTGCTGTAACAGTGAGCTCCGTGGTTTGGAGGGAGATATAGGGAACGTTCTCTTTGCAAACAGTGACACGGGCTTCTTTCTCTTGCCTGGAGAAAGGTAGATGGATCTGAGGGAGGTGAGGAGTCTGATGATGTCAAAAAAGGGGCTGAACTAATAGAGTGGTGCCTCGCTTAACGAGGATAATCCATTCCAGCAAAATCGCTGTACAGCGAAATCCTCGTTAAGCGAAATACAGTGGTGCCTTGCTTAACGGGTGCCCCGTTTAACGATGAATCCGCATGGTAATTAAGATTTTGCCATCGCTTTTGCAATCGCATTGCGATGTTCGCTATGGGGAAAAATCGCTTTGCGATTTTTCCATACGCCCCATTTTCGCCCAGCTGATCGGCGGGGCTTCGGAATGATCGTGGGGAAACGCTTCCCCCCCGATCATCCCAAAGCCCTGCCGATCAGCTGGGCGAAAATGCAGACTTCGGGATGATGGGGGGAAAGTGCTTCCCCCATCATCCCAAAGCCCAGCCGATCAGCTGGGCAAAAATGCAGGCTTTGGGATGATGGGGGAAGCACTTCCCCCCATCATTCTGAAGCCCTGCTGATCAGCTGGGCGAAAATGTGGGCTTTGGGATGATGGGGGGGAAGCGCTTCCCCCCTGATCAACCCGAAGCTCCACCGATCAGCTGGGCGAAAATGCGGGCTTCGGGATGATTGGGGGGAAGCGCTCCCCCCCCCCGATCATCCTGAAGTCCCACCGATCAGCTGGGCGAAAATGTGGGCTTTGGGAAGCGCTTCGGGCGCTTTTAGATCTGGCTTATGTCTTAGATTTGGCAATTGAGCTGACAACACAGTTCCCAAGTCAAATAGCCTGTAGCAATAGCGATGAATCCGTATAGCGACGATTTTTTTCGGGTTATCATCACTATGCGGGGCACCACTGTAAAAACTCCCATTGAAACACACTGAAAACCTAATCAATGCGTTCCAATGAGCTGAAAAACTCACAGTCCAGCGAAGATCCATAGGGCGGCCATTTTCGGTGCCTGTAAAGCGAGGAATCCATCCAAAACCACAGTGGGGAGCCATTTTACACAGCGGGCGGCCATTTTGAAGCCGCCGATCAGCTGTTTTAAAAACATAATGCGAAGAATCAGTTCCCAAAGCAGGGAACTGATCGTCACAAAGTGGATTTTGCCTATTAAAACATCATTTTGCGATCGCAAAAGAGTCATCGTACAGCGGTTTTGTTGTTTAATGAGGCAATCGTTAAGCGAGGCACCACTGTAAAGCCATTCACCCACCCATGTCATTATCTGAACCAGAAGCTCAGTCCCACCAGAGCAATCTATTCCAGTTAATTCAGCCCTTCATAATCTGGTGCCCTCCATATGTACTGGACGAGAACATCCATTGTGTCCAGTTCGCATGGGCACAGTTGATTTTGTAGAAAGTAAAAGCCAAAGAAGAGAGAGTCCCAGCTATAAGGAGCTTGCCAGCGAAAAGAAAATGGCAGACACAGGTACTCCGAACTCCAAGGACATACAGTGGGGTCTTGACTTAAGAACGGCCTGAGTTAAGAACATTTTGACTTACAAACCACTCTCATAGGAAAATATTGACTTGACTTACATACTTAGATTTGAGTTACAAACTGAAAAAAACCCACGTGGGAGGCAGGGAAAGTGCAAAATTTGAACTTTCAGTTAACTGTTGGCCAGTGAGAAGGGTGCCTGTCTGCTTCCTCACTCCTCCCAGCGTTTAGAGAGTGGATTGGGAGACAGTCTTCGGACTGCCTGGTACTGCCTGGACTGTATTTTCCCTGCCTTCCCTGAACCTTTCTTGACCTAAGAAAAAAAGAAACAAAACATCCCCCTCTAGTGGTCGAAGGCGGAATAGCAGCTTCCCATTAGTTTCTAGGGACGGAAAAGAGCAGATACGGATCAAATGGTTTTGAATCCATTCCTATGGGAAATGCAGATTTGACCTGAGAACTTTTTGACTTGAGAACCACCTTCCAATACGCATTAAGTTCTCAAGTCAAGACCCCACTGTATAAGGGGTGTGTGTGCAAAGATAAAGCAACACAGATGTTTTCGCAGGAAGGAGGAAGACTATTTTGCCTGAGGGATCACAGCCTCTATAGAATCAGAAGATGAAAAAAAACATTGGACTACAACTCCCAAAATTCCTGAGCCAGCATGGCCACCCACTCTATCGAATCAAAAAACACAATCATCTTTTACAGTTTTAACAGGATTGGTGTATTCCTATGCCCTTCCCACAAAGCAGCTTGAGATAAAGGTCAATTCACTTCTCTTTCGACCAAGCATTTAGTCCCTATTGCTCTTGTGCTAAGCATTTTAAATGTAACCGTCAAGTGGTCGATTTTAATTTTTAAAGTTTAATTCAGTGGTTCCCAGCCTTGGCTCCCCAGATGTTCTTGGACAACTCCTCCAAGAAATCCTGGCCAGGACAGCTCGTAGTGAAGGCTTCTGGGAGTTTTAGTCCAAGAACATCTGGGGACCCAAAGTTGGGAACCACTGATTTAATTGATTGTAGTGTTCTTGTTGGCTTCCAGGCTGAAGAGAGGGGGGGGATTTCCTCTTAATCTGTATTCTTTTTTTCCCCAATTTGTCTTTTGAATGTGGTATGTTCAGACTATGCCTGAAGAAAGGGAAATGGACTTGAGGGAGGTCCATTGTTGGCAACGGACAACTGTTGCACTGAAAACAAACAGCGGCTAAACAGAAGTGCCCTCCCTTCCGCAGGGCACCTCCAGCATGCCAAGGACGAGTCTTGCCACTGGGCGTCTGGGTCTTCCACAAAGAGGTGGTCCTGTACCGCCCAAGACTCAAGCCAGGGCTACCTCTCTCACGTGATACCTGCACCCACTGGAACAGCCACCAGCAGCACAGAACGGAAAGGCAGAATAGAGGAAGGCTTAGGTACTCCTTGAGCCATCTTTGTCACACAGAGGCTTAGGTGAGCACAACAGCTCAAAGTGTCCAGGGCAGTGATGGCGGACCTTTTTGAACCCGAGTGCCCAAGCGGCAACACAAAATCAACTTATTTATTTCAAAGAGCCAACACTGCAATTAAGCCTGAATTCTGAGGTTTTAGTTTAGAAAAAAACAACTACCCCTGCACTGCATGGGTTAAATGCTTGTTTTTTTCCCCCCTAGCGGTGATATTAACAGAGAAATACTTACTAGTCCTCCAATCCCCTGATGGGCTAGACCAGTAATAGCCACCATTGCACCCCTCTGCTGGACCACTGCACCAGCAGAGGGGAGAGCCAAAATTCGGGATCAGAGGACGGGTAAGTATTTCTCAATGGCGACTTATGGCTTGTGTGCCCACAGAGAGGTCTCTGCATGCCAGCTGTGACATGTGTGCCATAGGTTTGCCATCGCTGGTCTAGGGCCACATTCAGTGACCCCTCCTGGGCAGAGACAAGCTGGCTACAATAATGCCTCCTGCTTAGACTACTGTAGTGTACTTCACATAGGGATGCGCTTGGAGATGACACAGATGCTACCAGACATGATGGGAGTTTTAATTCAGCAAGACCTGAAAGGCTTCAAGCTTGTTAGTACTTTTCTGGAGTACCATATCATGCAATTCCAGTGTCCTCATGACATTCGTACATCCATTGGCCTTGGTGTTCTGCAACACGATGGCATACTATTCTTATACTCAAACAAGAGGAACACGAGGCTCCTACCTGCGGAGACGCCACTTTCCTCCTCCTTGATCTTCCTGGGGACAGCAGTAGGAGTGGTCAGAGACTCCTCCTCTAAAAGCCCAGAGTTTCTTTTGAGTGGAGTCAGTTCCTGAAACACCAAGAGCTTTGAATTAGCATCTCCTCTTCCAGCTGTCCTCAGTTCACAGGAAAACTCAGAAAGAGAATCGGTTCCTGCACCAGAAGATATCCCGTAAACTCAGAAAGAGAATCGGTTCCTGCACGAGAAGATATCCCGTCTAGACTTTAAAGCTGCTGCACTGTTAAAGACATTAATTGAGAGCTAAAATGCAGAATTTTCACTTTATGAATATGGTCAAAAAGAGGAAAAACGATCAACCTCAGGAAGCAGGTTCTTCATTATGCCAGACCAGTAGCCACAATCCCGGGCATCACAAATACATCCAATACGGATTAAGTTCTTAAGTAGAGACCCCACTGTAATTCAGAGCTAAAATGCAGAATTTCCACTTTATGAATATGGTCAAAAATAAGAACAAGAGGAAAAACGATCAACCTCAGGAAGCAGGTTCTTCATTATGCCAGACCAGTAGCCACAATCCCGGGCATCACAAATACAGAAAAAAGCAACAGAGTTTAAGTGAGTTCCTATTTTGGACTACAACACCCAGAATCCTGCAGCCACCAGTAGCCATACTAGCTAGGCAACTCTGGAAGTGGTGTGTTCTTTTCAAGAACATATCACTTCTTAGAATGCTCACCCAAAGTTGAACTGGAGGATTCATCAAGTGTCCAGTCTTGCAAAACAGTTTATCTCAGGTTCTCAAGCCCCGACACGTGGAGCTTTGAACTTTCCTCACGTCAAGCAGACAAAAGCAAAGAGAGGCAGGCATCAGCTTGTGGAGGTTTTGTCCAAAAAGGCCCCTCAAGCTTTCCATCACATACGGTAGATGTTTTTCAGAAATGCCTCTCCATAATAACAAGCATTCAGCGACAGGCATTAAATGAACACTGAAATCTCTTACAGTGAAGAGAAATGGGTTTAGACTATTTCTAGGCCTGCATGAAGAAGCAGCCATGTTAGTTTGTGCAAACATACTCAGACAACAATTAAAACAAAGAAACGAAAATGCTGCGGCACTTTAAAGACTTATATTTCAATGTATGATTTTGTGGGTGCTTCCTGAAGAAATGGGAAATAACCACGAAAGATCATATTGGCACACAACAGTCTACAAGGTACAACAGCATTTTCAGTTTTTTATGTTTTGTTTAAAACATTTTTTGCCAGATCTCAAATTCCTATTATACAAGCCTGATATCCAGCCAGATTCAGGATATTTCTTTTACCTTCTTTCATTTCTTTCCGCCAATTATCATTATACGAAAAAGCTTAGACATGGGGAGGGCTCTAACTAAATGCTGAGTGCGAGTTTTGTTTGTTTTGATTTTTCCCCCTGCAAACCTGGGGGTTTCCTCCAGTCTAGAATATTCTTGCCTGTTGTCAGTGATTAAGGAGTATGAAGTGATGCTGCTCTCTTAAAATCACATACCTGAAGCATCTCAGCTGACATTTCCTTTCTGTCTTCCTGGGAAAGATGGCTCAGTGTAGACTGAAATGGGGATGTTATACTATAGCCTGAACAAGAAGGAGAAAGATTATGGGATATAGTCCATGAGGGAATGTGTTTGGGAGTGTGTGACTTACTGTTAATGCCTCCAAACAAGCAACATGTGGGGGGTTTTTTTTTGGGGGGGGTGTTTCACCAAAATGAATCAACAGCTCAGATATGAAGGCTACTCAGCTGCCTAAATAAAGTAAAGCCTTTGATTTAACTACGTCAAGTGCCACTATCTTTACTTATAATGCCGCTAACTCCACTGAGAATCAAGAAGTCAGCACTAAATTTGATGCACAAATTCAGGACACAGTTTGACATTTTAAGTTCAAATTCCACTTCACACATACTGTACTCACACTCTGAAAATACTGAGGAGAAGGGAAGAGAAAGGAAAAATAGAAAATAATACTTGACTGTGTATCATATGTCTGCATCTCAAGGCAAGATGTTGCATTTCTGGCATGTATCCATGCTAAAAGCACATACTCAGTTCCAAGGGGAGCAGGAAAGATGCAACAAACAGCATGCCACACCAGTGCTGTGCCTAGGCCAGGGTGAATCCAGGAGCCATTTCCCCCTCCACGTAATTACTAAAAATACAGGAGCCTTTTTATGTGGCTCCCAAATGAATCCAGGGTTTGCTATTATATATGTTGCACACTTAATTAATATGTGTTTAGAAGGAAGTACAGGAAATCTATAGGGTCTTTCTCACTCTCTTTCATACACACATTCATTTTCAGTTGTCACCCAAGCACCTGTCCTCTGTGACTTCCCAAGTCTCCACCCGCTGGTCTCCAGTTCTCCTTTTGGTATGTTCCACTTTTGGTCTTAATTGGAGCTTAGGAAAGGCATCAGGGAAGTTGCCTTGTGTTGTATCCGGTGAAATATTAAAAAATGGGAATCTGTTGACCTAGCAACCTTAAAAAGGACTGCAGTTTGGAGCACCTGGCCTCCATGCTGAAGGTCCCCTCAGCATCTCTAGGAAGGTCTGGGCAAGATGGCTGCCTGCAACTCTGGAGAGCTACTCTTAGCTGATGAAGCTCATGTTGGCCTACATGACCAGATATAACACAAGGCGACTTCCCCGATGCCTTTCCTAAGCTCCAATTAAGACAAAGAGTGGAACATACCAAAAGGGGAACTACTGAAGTAGTGGGAATTCATCCTCTCCCCTCACTCACTGTTACTATTGTTTAGGGTGATCCCACAATTGTCCCCGGGTCACATACCTGCGTTGCCATTCATTTCCAGCTGAAGCTCCTCTGTGGAAAAGCAATAAAGTTAGGAAGAAAACAACACATGGGCTGCCATGTGGAGAAGGTGGGAGATGACACAATCCTCAAAACACATCAGGGGTATCTTCCTCTTTTTCGGACTATAACCACCAGAGTCCCCTCCCCACCTGTCAAGATTTCTGGAAGCTGAAGTTCAGAAAAAGAACCCTCCCAAGCTCTACCTATTAGTTATGATGATCAAAGCTATCATGACGATTAAAGCTACCACTTGAGGGGCAACGTAATCCTAGAAGCTTGATGGTCCTAGCAAGCAAAACTGTACAGTAAGTTTGTAAACACGGCTGCTATTTGTTTTTCACCTCCTACTCTTTCGCTTCTCCCAACAAACATACAGTATGAGTAACCCCTCCAGCTGTGCAGAAAGTAACTGTTAATGCTTGGAATATCCAGAGCATTTCTAAGGCACAGACAAATGGCTGGGCTCTCTGTGTGTGGTCTTTGGAGATAAGTACATATTATCAAAGACCCTGCAAGACAGACAGCACCACTGCTCAGGCCTTGTATCCGGAAATTCAGCACCTTAGATACATGCTTCTCATCTTAGAGCAGATTTCTCCGGTTAGGTTACTGTAAATGCACTCTTTCAGGGGCCATCCTTAAGTGTGGTCCAGAAGCTACTCCTAATGTAGAATTCAGCAGCTCAGCCATCAGTAGAGGGGTTGATCCTGTCACATATTTGGCACATTCCACACCTTTTATGGAGGACCTGTACTGGCTGCCTGTTTGCTTCTATGAGTTGCCCGGTAAGCGAGGGCAGGGCACAAAAATGGAGCGGGCGGCCATTTTATTCTTCCGGCGGCCATTTTGGAACCGCCAATCAGATGTTTTTAGAACATCGCAATGCGAAGATCGGTAAGTGAAATGCTTACCGATCATCGCAATGCGATTTTCGCAAAAAACACGTTGCTATGCGGATTCGTCATTAAACGGTGCGCTCGTTAAGCGAGGCACCACTGTACATGCTTCTCATCTTATAGCAGATTCCTCCGGTTAGATTACTGTAAATGCACTGTTTCAGGGGCCATCCTTAAGTGTGGTCCAGAAGCTACTCCTAATGTAGAATTCAGCAGCTCAGCCATCAGTAGAGGGGTTGATCCTGTCACATATTTGGCACATTCCACAATTCCACACCTTTTATGGAGGACCTGTGCTGGCTGCCTGTTTGCTCCTATGAGAGCTTTACAGTTTTGCTGTTACCGTATAAAATTGGAAAGAGTGCATTTTACCCTTACCAATGTGCTTAGTTTCTGGGATCATCAGAACATATACTCCTGGTGGCCGGGGAAAGCCCTCTCTTTTGCACTGTGAATCCTACCCTGGCACAAGTTAGCTGATATAGATGAAAAGCCACTCTTCCAAGCACTCCTTGGGGACAGAGATTATACCCATAGCCAAAATGCATTAAGATCTGGCTTATCCACAGAATTGTTTTCACTGTCTAACCACTCAAAGGCCACAGCTTCAAAGTTGCCCTCTCCTCCTTCTGGAAACCAGTGGTCCTTCCACAATGAACATATCCATTATGTTATGCAGCAGCCGCTTCTCCACACATTTTGAGCCAGGCTCAAAAACACGACCGTTCCCACCACTCCATTCAGTAGGATAATAAATGGATTTTTTTTAAAAAAAATTATAGGACATATTCATGTCACAACAAACCATGGTTTGTATTAACCATGGTTTGCTCCTTAAGCTAAGAATTACATGGCAGATGTGCCAAACATACTGTGTCTCATCTTCCTTCCTTGTTTTTTTTTTTCTTCCCCATCAGGGACAGTTCTATGTTTTGGTTGAATGGGACACCACACAGCTAATTCCCAACCATTTTCTGACGGCAGTAACATTTACACTGAAGAGTACAATCTATTTGCATCAACCTGGAGGAATTTGTGTCTCTGTTCCCCTCCTCCATTTTTAAAAACACTATTGCATATTTGACCCAATTCTAACAAGTCAAGAAGCATGTCTAGGGAAGGAACCAAGGAGCTGGCTATGTCTCCTAGGCCCTTTGCCTGCATTTGTTTCAGAGTAGGCTGCTGGGGAAGTCATCCAGGGACAAGTCATAGACGTGGGCTTGGACACTAAAAGCCACAATCTAAACAAGTCAGAGTCCATAAGGCAACAGTAAGTCATGGATATAAATTGCAGATTGTGGCTGGCAAATAATAAACCATGATGTGTTAGCAGATGTGGCTTTGCACATAGTAACCAATCAGATCTCAGAAAATAAAGCCGCAGTTTTTGCAGAAATATAGGTGCAACGACATGGCCTAGTGGCCCAACTCAATATAAAAAGCTGCTTCATGCATGTGCAAAGCAACACAACACAACTTCGCCCATCTGGCTGTGCCAGGGATCTAAAGCCACAGAGAGGAGGCTGGTGCTCACCCTTGAGATGCAGCAGTGCCTCCTGCAGGACGGCCCGTTTCCAGGAGAAGCTGGCAAGCCTCTGCTTAAGTTCTGCTATCGTAAAGTCTATCTTCAACACTCCATCTCCCATGCTATGGAAGGAAAGAAAAGGAGAACTCCAAAGGCCCGGCTTCTTACAAATCCATCAGAGATGGGCAAAAGAAGATGAAGAAGTGGACTGACCTTTTCCTGGAGATTTCAACATCCTGAAAAGAATATATATATTTTTTTAAAAATGAAAAAATGGTGTGAGTGCCGCCCGAGAAACAGCCATGCTGCAAAACCACAAATATGGAATCAGCTGTTGGCTAAATATAGCAACCGTTCAAATTACAACATAACGTTTAGCTCTGCAGAAACTTCAGGAAACCCTGACTTCCAGAGTGGATAATATTCCAGCCCTCCACAAGTTTTAACATAAGGAATGATTTTGCAAAAGAACACCTCGTTTTACCAACAAAAAGGTGCCAGTGTCTTTTCCAGGACCAAAAAACAAAAACAATGTGCCCCCTCCCAAAAACAACAACAACAACCCCCACCACACCATTTCTAGGAGTGTTCTCTCCTTCCAATACCTGAGCCCTGTGGCAGCTGCTTTCTCTCCTTGGGACATCCTGAAGTCTGTTTGGAACTGACAAGGAACTGGGGGGGGGGGAATCGTTCTATCTTGTGGACAGAACTGGACCTGAAGACATTTACTGTGCCAGGCCATTGGTCCAGCTAAACCAATAGTGCTAATTAACTAGCAGGGGTAGCTCCTTTTCTAGCGCCCCCCAAGTAGTCTCCCATCCAAGAACTGACCCAACTCAACTCTGCTTAGCTTCCAAAAGCCAGCGCACATCCAGAGTCTTCACAGTGGTGCAACAGTATCTTCTATGATGGCACTGGCAGGAAAGGGTCTGTTTCCCAGGGTCTGTTTGCAGGCAAGGTGCCCGTCCTTGTCTACTAAGACAGAGCCAGGCAGCCTTACCTGCGAGGATCGGTTCGGCAGCTGCTCTCTTCCTGGCTCCTGGAGCAGGTTGTGTCGCAGGGAATCCTCGTTGACAGCTTTGGGGACACTTTGCCCGTAGCTCCCCCGGAAAATGTCTCTCTTCAGCTCTTCCAAATGGTTCAGCCAATGCCTCTCCCACTCCTCCAAGAACCCCTTCAGCTCTTTCCACTCCCAGATCACCTGCTGCTCTTCCACTTCCATCTGCTTCTGTGGTCATAGGATTCAAACAAAAGAAAGCCCAGTAGATTAGAAAGCTCGGGCTCCACAGGGGTCCAGGAAAGGCTCCCCAGGTTGGGGGTGTGTGTTTCTTTCCCACCTAGCATGGTTCTGTGTAGGTGATCACGGAACAGAAGGAAGGCTAATGATGTGGGTGATCACTGACAATAGGAAGGCAATTAGACTTTAGAGAAGTTGCAAAGAAGTTGACAAGCAGATATCCATCGGGACCAACAAGCAGATATCCGAACCAGCGGAGCTTCAAGTCATGCCTTGAGGAGATTACACAGTATGTGGAAAGAGTTCAGATAGGATATTAGTTACCTAATCGCCACTAGGACTGACTGGAGAAAGTCTCTGAACTTATGATCTAAATATTAGTTACCTAATCGCCACTAGGACTGATTGGAGAAAGTCTGTGAACTTATGATCTAAATCTAAGAGGAAAGGCAGAATGAGAGGTCACCCCACCTATCAGAAACCGCTGATCTCTGCCAGGAGTGTTTGCTCTCAATGAAACAGGAATGCAACTAAGGACCTTGAGCAAGATTCTCCCTCTGCCAGGAGTGTTTGCTCTCACTGAAACAGGAATGTAACTAACGACCTTGAGCAGGATTCTCCCACAGTTCTGGTGCCTCTTGTAGCTCCCTGGGGAGTAAAACGCCTCCTAGCACAAAGATGACTTGTAGAGAAGTTTCACCTGTTAAATTTCTGCCTGTGACATGTCACTATTACTTGCAGCAGTTAGTTAAAAGTCTTGTGGTCTTCAAAATGTTATTTATTTATTTATTTATTACATTTCTATCCCACTTTTTCTGCATGGAACTCAAGGCAGCTAACATGTTTCTCCTCCTCCTCATTTTCATCCTCACAACAACCCTCCAGGTAAGTCATGCTGAGAAAAGGTGACTCAGCCATCTGTTAATTTATGCCTCCCATCATCCACTAATGGTTATCCTATTTGGGGCAGATGGGATCTGCAGTCCAGCAGCCAGAGGGCCACATGTTGATCACTTGTGGGTTAAAGCCTCAGACTAGGCCTGAGATGAATCAGTGTGGGGTGGCGGACAGAGAAGCTGCAGTCGGACTCAGAAGACCTAAGTTTAAATCACTACTTGATCACAGAGGGTGGCAGTGCTAAACCACTCCTTGAATGGCTCATACAATTCATTCAAGCAATTCATTCCAATTGCTTACACCTTGGAAGCAGCTCATGACACATAACAACTACTGTGATAGGACTAGCACAAATTAATCTCTGTATAAACATGGTGTTCACTGGTAAACCTAGAACTCACTACCATCTATTAGCCTGGCCCATTTCACAAGTGGTTGTGAGGAGAGGAAGGAGAGGGTGAAAAGACTGTGCGCCCCTCCCCCCCAAGCATCTCGGCTGAAAAGCGGGACAGCAAGAAAACAGAACAAAATAGAAATAAACAGGGACCTGCGGGAGTTGGAAGCACTAGTTCAAAAGACCCACCAGCAGTTCCTCTCTTTCCTCGTCGTGAGTTTTGGCTTTTCTTTCTCTCTTGGATTTATCCAGGTGCTCCAATGGTTCTCCCTGGGAAAAGCAAAGCATGGCTATTTACATCATAAAGCGCCAAAGAAGGCTGACTATCTTCTGCCTTTAGCGGTGGACAACGCTCGCCTTGGCCACGAAAAATCTCCACCTGCCAATTTATAAAGTTCCAACTCCACTTAAAAGTGCAACAGGAGGCCAGCCCCTTCGTCTTTTGGGGTCCGATGGTAGCCCTAATTTCTGTAAAAAAAACTTCCAGTTTTTCCCCGTTCCATTAGTCTGAGGCCTAGAAGAAGAAAAGTAGTCAGCTCCTGTAACAGCATCAGCATTTTCTGGACTATCGTCAGCTTGGAGAGGAAGCCAGGCGGCTATTTAAAGACAACCTATGAGCACTGCTGCAGGTGTCTTCGCTTATCCTGCTTGCCTTCGCGATTTTCTACTTAGTTTGTGAAATCCCCAGTTTAAAAACAATTATGTGA